AGATCAAACAAAGTCTGGATTAAACTCAGGTAAAAAAAAAGGCAATACTTGCGCACCCCCCTCTTTCCCACTTGTGTCATTATATCTCCCGAATCACCTGTCTAGCACACTACAGTCCATTCTCATGTGAATAAGAGCCTAATATCCACTTTATGGGGCTCTCCTACTGAGAGTTGCTTGTAGCACTGAGGTTTATATAATGTTAGAGGATGAGTAGTGAGACAGCATGTTTCTCCTCTGTGATGAATACCGGTGTCCTTCCGTGGCAGTTTGCGCTCACCTTGGAAGCGGCGATTATTTTAAATCAACAGAGAGCAGCCGGAGCCGCTCATCCTCCAGCCAAAAAGATGCTAGTGTGATTCACAATGTGCAAAGGTGACAAAATGTTACTACAGGGAGAATGCATGGCTCAAAAAGAGCAATTGACCAGTGTCAAAAGCAGGTATAGCTTTTCAAGAAGTGTCACTCAATTCACCAATATGAATGTCGCTAGAGTTACAGACTATTCACAGGAGGTACAAATAGTACTTTAACTATTTGCTTAGGAACCATTGATTTAGTGTTGGGAAAAACTTATCCCAACTTTAAACAAGTGCATGTAATATCTGTAACAATTTTCTTTATAAAACTGCATAAAATGTTTAAGAAAGTTTAATTTGCATTTGTGAAGGTACATTAGAAGTCTAGAAAAAAGGCTCAGGTTTGCAAACCTTTAAATTGTAAAACATGCATCAATACACCAAGAGCTCAGGCTGGGGATCCAGTCTCACCACGTGGACTATGCGTCTGAGTGTTACCTGACATTCTGCAGCCATAGATCTCAAAGCGCATACAGATGCCTTGCTCCCAGGTCATGGGACGAATGCGGATGTAACGAGCCAGCATCTGTTTGGGAAGGAAGGAGCGAGCCTCGTCTATCGCGTTGTAGTTCCCCTCAAAGATCTGAAGATAAAGACAGAAAAAATACTGATTAGTGATTCTCTTTACCTGACTTGTTACTTCTACTACTGATCAAATCAAATTTTATTTGTATAGCGCCAAATCACAACAAAAGTCATCTCAGGACACTTTACAAAGTAAGGTCTAGAACCAGGTGATGCTCCGTGGACATTCGTTTGGAGCTACGACTCTTGCGAACTGTCACCCAGCCACCTGTCTGAGATCCCGGCTGCTCGGGAAGCTGTGGGGGGCTAGCTTGGGCTAAGCTACGTCTAGGAGGCTCCACACACTGATGTTACGTGTCGTACTGTTACTTCTACTTCTTCGGTTTAAGCAGAAACTGGTTGAACTCATGACCAAAGATGCTCGACTAGCTGTCATTTAAATAATGTCCAAAGCTCTTGTTCGCGCGCTAGAAAAACAAAGCAGTGCATGCTGTGTAATGAAATTGATTCGTCAACATGAGGCATGACAGCCAAACTGAAGTCTCTGGAAAACTCTTCAGGCTCTATTTAACAGTAGTTGAGACTTTGACATGATTTGTTTGATGTACTGGCACCATGTCTGTCAATATGTTGCTTAATGATAGATTCTGGAAGCTGTCAATTTATCGCTGCACCAGTGTCACTAAGCACGCGTTCCTCCAAAGATTCAGACTGATGAGAGAAGTGGGATGGAGAGCAGTTTTACAGCACAGCCATTTCAGTCAAGGCACAGATTAGGGATGCTGCCAAATCCTGTCTGCCTTGGAAGACATTGACTCGGCCACCCTTCTCTCTGCACAGATTTAAATGACTTATCAATATTATAGAGATAAGGATTGTTAAAACACAGGTGACTCATCGTTACCTTCTGCTTTGAGCCCTCCTTCACGGTGACCCAGTCCTCTCCGTTGGAGCTCAGGTCCACTTTGTATGAACGGACATAGTAGTGCCTCTTGGTCTCCTTTGAGATTGCTCCCTGGGTCCCGATAGCTGAGACAAATCTGAGGAATCCCAGGTCCACCTGAAACCACAGTAAATAGAAACGTCTCTACAGGGTTAATGGTCTGGAGGCTAAAGAAGTGGATCTGTTATGGAAAATCCAAATGGAGAAAGCAAATCGAATAAAAAAGGCTTTCCTCTTGTTCATTTCCTATTTTACTAATAAAAGAGAATTTAAGCAAAGTAATGAAAGCTTAAAGATGTAAAGGTTTTGAAATCTGAAGCCCCATCTGCTTAAGCACGAGGTTGTGTGTGAGTGCAGTAACACAAAAAAGGAGCACATTTTCTTCTTACTTCTTGGACATTACAAACAAAACCTTGCTTGAATTTTATCCTTTTCGTCTCGTCTCGTACCATGTTTCACTTGAAACGCATGGAAAACAGGAGCTCATATCTCATTAATTACACCGTGATCCATTCATAATTGAAAAATCAGAGCAGGATGCCGGAGGGGTTCTGTAGGCAGCCACATACTTCATGAGTGCACTGCTGACAAGTGTCGTAGTTAACGAGAACTTTCTGCAAACAGCTACTTAAACATGGCCAGATAAAATTCTGGCAGCTGGAAAAGCTTTGGAAATCTTCTCAGTTATTTTTAGTTTGTGTTGTGGCTAAAATGTAAAAGCTTGATTTAAAATGTACAGGAAAAAAGATGAAATGGTGCAATATTATTAGTCAGCACTGTAGGGTTGGCTTGTTTCCAATCTCACTTCCACATTCATTTCTTACTTTCCTTTGTGCTACTTACTAAGATTTGAGTTGATGCTTTTATGTTTGTGTGTTTACTGTTTTCACATGATCAACAAAACCATCTTTTCCCAACAAGGGGTGGTGACATGACATGTGATGTAGGTCATGTGTCTAATTCAGGTCAGCTGAGTCAGAGAGCCTCAGGGCGCCAATCCGTCAAGGATGTCCCGAAGAGTGTGTCTGTGTCTGTGTGTGTGTGTGTGTGAGAGACATTAAACTCATTTAGAGCATAACAAACCAGGAACCAGGTCAGGACCAATTCTATGGTTGTCCACAAGCATCATTTATGACTACTGTGTGACCTAGGGGGGGTCAGAGGTGGTGTGCTAGATTTTATGAGACTCACTGAGCAGATAAGGACTAAATATACAGTATATACAATATAACTGGATCTATGGGACATTCCCCTGCCTCAGTTTTTCACATCCTATTTTACCCCCTTCACCAATAGTTTAGGTTTACTTTCTAACAGTCTAGTTGAGAGGAGCTGGTAAAAAATACTAATACACTCATTTGAGCTGCCTTCCCCTTTACTACCGTGCACTCAGTGAGCTTAATGAGCCGCAGCGAGACTGGCTGACTTTGTAGCCCAGGGTTTCACCTCTCAGGCAATGCCCATAAAACTGCCCTGACTCACAGGGTCGTCTTACACATTCTGTATTCCAGTCTCAGCTTTTACTGAAATTATATCTGAACACAAAAAGACAGGACTTTCCTGTATAATCTACAGGTTTAAATTTAAAATAAATGGTTTGCAACAGTAGCCAACGACCCAGCAATGACTTTTTCATGTTGGCAATGACTATTGTCTTGTGCTAATGACTTAGCTCATAATAACATCCACACATCTGGAAATTCAGTCAGTTCTTCCCAACCATTAGCTGGACCTGTGGCTGTTTTAAGAACATGACAATCTGTGCAGACCAGGGAGGAATATACACACAAACTAGTGGGTATATCTCAAATTTAGTGAGTACAGGGTTTATGACTGCTAACTAAAATTTTAATTCTTCTTAAAATAAGCAGCTTCAAATGAAATTACACTGACATTATCACAGCTGTGGCTATATTTTCCCCAGATTTATCATAAAATTATGATCTAAGGGCTAAATAAGAGATTTGTTCAAAGACATTTTATCTCACTGCTGCACAGCAGTATCCAGAAACAAGGCTGTTTAACGTGCTCGAAAAGATGAAGGATAGAAACAGATTATTTAAAAGATAGCCATCATCACAGAGAGCAGCAGTGAATCACATGCATACGCTGTCCACAAATACTGATGCTGATCTGAAAGTAAGAATACTTCACTAAGACTGAATGTACAGTAGACTGTATTAGAACATGATGTGGAACAGATCTATTTTCACAACTGTGTGTTCAGTGAGGTGACACTCCATTTAGCTTCAATTTAATTCTCCTTAAACTAAACTAAACTGCTTGTTTGTTGAGTTTGGAAATTATCATTGGCATTCCAAAACACACAATGCTTCAGCACTGCATGTGGATGCTTGTGTAATATATGGTGTGTAATTATATTACCACAGAAACGTTGCCTCTGCGATAGTGTACATAGGAAGAGGCCATGAGTTAACTTTTCCCACTGTTGCTTTCCCAGGAGAAAAATAGAAAGTAACTGTGTGGGCTCTGAGACTGACAGCAAGACCCCTGGGAATCGACTGCTCATGGGACCGCTCGCTGGTGTTCCCAGCCGAGGTCTGACGTCAATTCCCGTGAGATGTTTCCTCCAAATACTACACATTCTCTAAGTGACAAAGACAATGTGCACAGTATGTTTTGCTGTAAAATGATAAATACACTTTTAGATAATTTCTGTTGTTCATTACAGCATCAAGAGTTGGGTTAAGGTATGAAGTACTGCGGCGTCGAGAACATTCTCGTCTGTCTAAAACATTCTCGTCTGTCTAAAACATTCTCGTCTGTCTAAAACAGTGGTTTCCTGCCATTTTGGTCTGTGACCACTTAGAATGAAGGGGGCTACTTGTGACCCCTCATCATGGCTCATACGTATCTCTGGTGTGGACACAGAGTTGTGAGTTCAACCAAAGAGCGACTTGTCAACTAGACTGTTTATTTGAAGGCTTTCTAGATGCCTTGAGTGGTAGAAGTATCCAGTGTTTCACAATAAAACAAGCAACAATCACAGAAAAATCAGGAAAAATAAGCAATTTTGTGTAACAAATATACATATGTTATCTTTTACCCTGATGACAGAAAAATGTTAGTAGTTTTCATATTGATTAACTTTAACTGGACTTGAGGGATTTTCAAAATTAAATTCTGGTTCAAAAAATACCTCACTGCCTTTTAAAAATCACTTTACCCTTCATAGTTACAACTGTGCATCTATAGAGAGATGAATATTGTAATTTAACAGACACAATACCCAGTGACATTTGAATGTGGGACTCTGGAAGATTATGAAGTAGTTTTTTAGACAAAGGAGTAAAAGGAATGTGAGACGTTTTTTTAGAGTGTAAATAAAATCAAATTGATGTTTAAACAGGAAAAGTACAGTCATCATTTGCAGGCATTACATTTTTTATAGCAGGTCAAAGCTCCATTCTCCAGACTTCCTCTAACAAAGCCTTAAGGCTAATTGCTCTTCTATCTTCTAATTGCTCAACACTTGGCAGTGCCTACATTTATGCCCCAGAAAATACTCACACTTAGAACAAAACACATGAATGGGGCATAATAAAAAACAGTGCTACCTCCTGCCAAAACAGGATACTGTCTCAACAGTGATAGCAGAAGAATTATTCACTTCTCATCCGAGGTTTTAGTGTTTACTTTCATTTGCTGTCCTCTGGGATACAGTGGGCAACACAAGGGAGGGAAAGTTTTTACTACATGCACAAGTTTTTCTGTACTTATTAGAACAACTCTAATAACCTAATTACTGATGACTGTCAGAAAACTATGAATGATATTGTTTTTGAATGTTTACAGGATCATGTTAGCCTAGTAATTAAACTGCTATTTTGTTTTATTTAAGTCATTTATCATGACAGTTTTTCATTCTAGCACTTTTCATTTTGTTCACTGTAGGAAACCTGAGGTTTACAGTGATGGATTACACAACTCAAGCAAGTTTCTCGAGTGTGTTAATTGATTTTCACGCTGTGCAGAAGTGAAACAATAGCTGTCAGGAATCCAAACTTCTAAAATGTTTAATAGAACATGCATACAGTAGGAAAATGGTTTCTGGTTGGAGAGCTGATGCTTGCAAAGACACTGGTATGGCCCTTTAATGTCCTGCTAAAAACGCCCACAGTAAAGCTTCTGTTTATGATAATGTGCCTGCTGAGTGACTTTTATAACCACTGGGCTCTTGAAATCTCATACAAAATTAGTAAATGGCATCTTGGCATTTATGAAAAGAAGGGGATTTTTCCATCATTTCCAAAATACGTCCTCTTAGCAGCCTTGAGGTTCCAAATTAAAATGAAAACCATGCTAATGAGACCGTATTGTTTTTGGGGCTTTGTTTTCTTTTAATGAATGACATAACATCTCATCATCTTTTGTGCCTCTCCCCACTCATTAATTCAGAAATTAGATATAGGATTAGTTTTTTTTTTCTTTTACCACAAGAACTAATGTACTCACAGAATTAAAGGCCTTGCAGGTACATCTCAATGTTAGCAAGTGTGATCTGTGTAGGAATTTCTCTCGGTTACTAACATTTCCTGGGTTTGGACGTTTACCGTGGGCTTCCTCCAGAGGTCTGCTCTGGACAGCAGGATGCTTTCAAGCTCTCTGGAGGATCTTTTGTTTTTCAGTTTCCCCCTGCCCCAGCTTCAACAACACACCTTTGCTCACACAAGACCCAAATATGTTCTCCAGATGGGAAACGCTAAGCTCTTCCTCTAGTCATTAAAAAGGTCCTGAAGACAAACGCCAGGGCGTCTATAAATACCTGAAGTCGGGAGAGGAAGGAAGCCTTTCCTGGGATTACCTTATGGTTCTCAATAACAGGTCAGTTAAATGTGCACACACTGGCTGTCTGAACCACATTTGTACAAAAGGAATGAATGCTGTGCTGACAGAACCAATGTACTTTTATTTTACAATGTTATTTTTGAGCTAGGTCACTTTGTTAGTGCAGTTCAATTTGTTGAGTAACTCTTTAATTGCCTTTTCTCAATGCAAAGTATGGATACATCAATAATCCTCACATGAAAAGCTCATCTTACTGCGCACAGATTTCTACAGTAGGGTAGTTTTATTGCTGCACATGTAAAATAGCGAAATCCAGCAGCGAATAGACAAGTAAACAAGATAAGACTGAGAACAAAAACGTAAGAAAAAGAATGTGTAAGTAAAGAAAAAGGTGTGGGCATTAGGAAAAAATAAAAATAGAGTACTTATAAATGGAGAACTATATATACACACAGTTTAGATGCATTTTCCTGATCCATATATAAAAAGGTGTATTTACAGGTACTGCCCTGAGGGTTGTTGTCCTGTTATACAGTCATGGTGGGTTAAGTGTTCATCAGAGTGATGACCCAGGGGAAGAAACCGTCCTTGTGCCTGGTTGTCTTGGTGCACAATGACCTGTAATGCCGTCCAGAGGGGAGGAATTCAAACATTTTGTGACCAGGATGTGAGGGATCTGCAGAAATCTACTCCGCCTTCCTTTTGACCCATGAGGTGTACAGGTCCTCCATGGAGGGCAGGCTGGCACCGATAATTCTTTCTGCAGACCTGACTGTTCGCTGGAGTCTGTTCCTGTCCTGATTGGTTGCCAGGGCTTGTTGTTGTTGTATGTGCAGAAGGTCTTGGTGGGCACACGCATGTCCCCACAAAAGCTGATGTATGATGTCATAGTGTCAGGGAGTTCATCCAGGTCTGTAGGCCTTAAATACACTCCAATCTGTGCAGTCAGAGCAGGCATGTAGCTCTGACTTTGCCTGCTCAGTCCATCTCTTCACTGTTTTGACCACAGGCTTTGCGGCTTTAAGTTTCTGCCTATATGATGGTATAAGATGGACCATGCAGGGAACAGAGTCCAAGGGCTGCGCAGGGACAGAGTGATAGGCATCTTGTATTACAGTGTAGCAGTGATCCAATGTGTTTTTGTCACTGGTGGACAACTGATGTGCTGTCTGTATTTGGGCAGTTCTTGTGTAAGAGTTGCTCTGTTAAAATCGAGACACTTCATTTCCATGCTAGTTATCTGGTTGGCCAGGTGCTGTAGTGCTAGCGTGATTCTACAGTCTTATATATGCTCCAACCAGAATGAATGACAAAAAAAATCTCTGAGAGAATAAAATGGTTTGCAGTTGATTAAAAGAGTCTCTAAGTCCATGTTGCACGTTATTTCTAACACTGTGACATCTGTGCACCAACCTTCATTTATGAAGAAACTACTGTAATTCCCCCTGCTCTCGTTTTCCCGGATATGAAGAATTTCCACTTAATCCAGCCTGTCACTGAAATTAGTCACCATAGTGCAAAATATGATGACAGATTTATCATCCAGCTAGATAATGAGCTCACTGTCTGCTGCCATCCAAATTGTCACCGGGTGACATCACCCTGACAACATTATGAATAGTAACCTGAAAATAGTATCAATAAAATATAAATGCCTTTAATGAATAATGGAGGTGTGTGTAGTGGAGAAGGGAGGCATGCAAGAATTAACTAAGTCATAATTTTCTTCTGAAGTAAGATGAATGGAAAGCTGCAAGGCAATCCACGCTGTGCAGAGCTGGCCATGCACCACGTTTAATCAAATAAAATGAAAAATTCTCTTCACAAAAACCACCAGTCATAACTCAAGCACCTCACAGAGTCTGAGGCTGAGCAACAGCACTGGTTCTGAGACTATAAATCACTGTGGCAGGGGGAAGGTTTGCTGTTTCTTCAGGAGCAACTGCCAACAAAGCTTTAGTTGAACAACAGAAGAACGCACACACACACACACACACACACACACACACACACACACACACACACATAGATCTTTCCACACACAAACTGGACCCAGTAGCTTCTCAGCTCGGCTGGAGGAGCGAACGTGTGACTGGGAGGTCGCTGGCAAATCTCATGACTGCTGAGCTCAACAAGAGTGTTGTCACATCCCTTGGTATCTACAGTCAGTGTGTCCTGATAGAAAACACTGGTCAGAGACTGAGAGCAGAAGCTCTGTGCAGGGAGCTACAAGCATGCAGTGCTGCTGAGAAGACACAAGCCTGCTCAGCAGACTGTACCAGGTGTTTTACCTGTCCATTTATGAAAAAGGAGCAGGTGTTTGCTTTTGCTGTAACTTTGTTGTTACTGCATTCTAAAGTAGAAATTGGAAAAAGTCCAAAGATTTAGCTGCTTTCCCTTTTCAGGCTTTAATAAAATCAAGAAACTTTGTACTGTGTCTGATGACTTTAAAGTCAGTACAGTTGTGACACAGTGATGTGGTGTGACATGTCAAGAAGGCAGGTATATGACTGCTGATGCTATGGTTCATATAGCAAACAACAGGGGTGTAATAATTCTGAAACCAGGACCAAAACCACAATACAAGCACCTACTGTCCTCAGGCAAATTGTGGCTCTGTAAACCTAACAGTCTCCTTCATTTCATCATATCCCAAAGGCCTCAGCGGTGGCCCAGTAGCTAAAAGAAGTCCCCAGACAGACAATAGAGAGCCACTAACACTAATCCAGCACCGAGGCCTTCTTCCTGCCTGCGTCCCGTAACCCCGACAGGAAGGAAGTGCGGGGCATTGTGAGCCTTCCTCTACAAGTTCCTGTCGTGGACAATAGGACACTCCTAGTCTCCAGCCACACATTCAGACTGGGTCTCTCTGAGGGCACAGTCCTACCTAGAATCAGTTTGCTTTGGTCCAGACCACCATGTTAGCACGGTTTCACAGTGCAGTTATCTGGTGCTGCCTGAGTGTGCACGGTGTTGTTCTCACCTGTTTAAATGCACCAAACTGTATCAAGAAAGCTACACAATGCTAATTAACACTGTAAACATGCTTGCACTGATTGCTGATTGTCCTGTCTCTGACTGGAGGAAGCCAAACACAACTGAGGAGGCAACTTTAAGCAGAAGAATAAACTGAATATGTTTCAATAAACATAAACACTGGGCTTCTCCTTTATGACTATCAGATTTCAGAATGAAGAAAAGAAATGTTAATAAATAAACTATATATTTTTTTTGGCTTTTTCCCCATTCTGTGTCCCCAGTAACATGCAGAGAAGTGGAACAGTATCCAGACCAAACATCAGCAAGATCTCCGTGGTACAGTTAGGTTCAAATAGAGGAGTGCTGCTTCACCATGAGTGGATGAGCATCCTTTGTAGACCAGACTCTAAAATAAGAACCACTGTGACATAATTAGGTTTTTCCCAGTGACTTTAGGAATTCATCACAATAAGTGGCACTACCTTAGATACTGTATGTTCTCGTACTTTTTTTTAAATGAATTTTACTCTCGTGTATTTTTACTTAATTTAAAAATGGCTTTATGATCATGCTGTAAAATAAATAAATGAATAAATAAAGATGAACCTAAAAAATTCAATGAGCAAATACAACATTTCTGACCTGTATCCACTCCCTCACGGTGTCATCTGCAGGTGTCCAGCCGTTCTCTAGGTAGTTGAGGCGAGAGCGTTCAGGCGACCAGTTGGAGTTGTACTGGGAGGAGGCTGTAATGTGCTCCGTCGGGATGTCACCTGACTCCATGCCTAGTGGCTCCATACAAGCAAAATCTGCAAAAAACAGAAAAACAAGAGTTCAAAAGTGACATCAGACCCAAAGGTTATGTTTTGAATAACTTTCTGCAGACCAGTAACCACTGATGTGGTGCTAAACATGTTCCCACCATGAGTAAAGTTTTTACAGATGTTATTTATTGTCTGTCATAGCTAATAGAATGACACAGCTGACCACTGAGATGCTATCAGTCCCACAAAGATGCCACTTGGATCAAAAACCTACACCTGACCATCTTCATTTTAACTCTGTCTAGTATACTGTACACTACGGGTCAAAAGATTTAGAACATTTCCATTTTTCCTGTTTTAGAATCAGAATCACGGTCAGCTTTATTGACCAGGTGTGTCCAGCACAATGTCCAGACTTTCCAGGTGAAGAGTGAAAGCAAAACAACCTACAAGTGCAGCACATCAGTGGGAACATCTGCAGCAGTGCTGTCTGTCCCACTGGTGAACAACACCAATAGCAACTGGAAAAATGGAGGTACTCTAAAACCCTTGACTGCTAGTGTATATTAAAAACATATCACTGAGCGCCTTGAAATAAAAGAGGACAAGAGGTTTTTGCTCTTAAACACATCCCAGGGTGGCAATTAAGTTTGAAAGTCCAAAATATCAGTGAGCGGGGATGTAATTTCCAAGTTCCTGGTGCAAATCAGGAATTTATTTATTCCAGCGCACATACATTATGGCCATGTCACAAGGCCAGATTTTTGTTTTCAAAATGATATTAACTGCTTAATTAATATGAATTTTAAAAAGCTATTTCACAGATAGTTAGTTAGGCGAACACAATTTTGGTGTTTTGCTCTCCTCATTTTTGCTGCTAATGGCTGAATTTATCATTTAACTCTAAAATAGATGCATTCTAAAAGAAACACCTCAAGTCATAAATCTGTTTGGGAAAATACAGTAGCTCATTCTGTGACTGACTGGGGCAGAAAAACAAGGGGTCAGTGTGACTGGAGCGATGCCCAGACACTGTAAAGTGTGTGTCCCTGCTCCCTGCTGAGCAGTCAGTCATAGTAGTAAAAAGGTCACCTGGAACGGCCGCTGTGGTGCTGCTGCAAGGCTGCTTGGTGCCACTTACTTTATGTTTAAGTTCAGAGTTGGCTTGCCACACACAACACAAAAAGATACAAATGTACAATATCCATACATTTACACAGTTCCCCGGGATGCAGACATTTATGACTGAAGCCGACCACAAGATACAGACTCCTCATTTAATTTCACTTGAATTTTACAGAGGCAGCCTAGACTGGTTTGTATTATAACAAAGATATCGAAACCCTCATTCTGACATTCTTAAAGTTCAAAATCACCACTTTAACCCTATGGATATTATTTAAAATCTACTGTAAAATAATAAAACATAGATTACTGTCCAAACTGTTCTATACATCTGATGAAGAATGACTCAAGGCTGGAGAAACTCACAGCTGTCTGATGACTTTTTCCTTTATTTGATAAATTATTTCAATTATTAAAAGTCCAGCAGTGGTGAGAAATGGGGAACACAGTTTCCTGGAGCTCAAGGTGACATTTTAATAGACTTTCTTCGACCAACCAATAAATACATACATTTGCAATAAAACTAACACCAGGTTCAGTTTTTACAGTAAAAAAAATTTCACATGTGAGAAGATGGAGACACTAGTGGTTCACATTTTGGATAAAATAGCTAATGAACAATCAACAGAAGTGTTATCTGTTATTTTACTGTTTAATCAAAAATAATCTAATCTGTAATACAGCTCCAATAATTGATTGATTAATTGATTAGCTGACTGACAGAACATTAACAGGCAATTATTTAAACAAGCCAAATATTGTCTGGTTTCAGTTTTTCACCTAAGAGGACTTGCTGCAGAAAGTATTTATGGGACCAGTCAAAATCTTGTGGCGGTGCACGGCTATACAGCATAGAGGAATTTCAGGCTAGCCAAGTTAACAGAAAAATAAAAATACTATATTACATTGTAAAATAAGTTGCTTTTACTGTTCAATTATTCAGCTGGTCAGTCAAAGAATCATTAACCTAATTATTCATTCCAGTTTGAATGCATCATCAGTATGGGCTGCTTAAATATAAATATTAATTATTAGCTGAATGTTTCATTTATGTCCAGCACATCATTTTTCATCTTATTTGCAACTATCTTCCATTTTTAATCACAACCAAGAACTGAAATTGTATATAAATGTCAAACATTCTAGGTGTACCTGTAATCTATGGAATAAAATAATGAATTATGGATGCAAACATGTCTGACCTAAAGTTCTGATGCAATTACAAAACACATCAAATTTCATACTCAGTTGCTTTATTACTTTTATAATTTCAGTGATTTGTATAATTTCATAACCAAAATGGCATTCATTCTATTTCAGTAGTTTTAACTAAGAAATCATGAACCAAACTTTTTTTTTTCTTTTGAGAATGATACCTTCAAATGTGTTACAACTTAAATTAATGTCAAATTTTTAAGGGCTTATATTGCAAAGAATTAGTAGGACTGGGGGCTCATCACTTGTGGGGGGCCAGTAGAGTGACCAGAAATTTTCGGATGGGGACCGTGGCCCCCCTGGGCACCCCCTGGGCACCCCCATGGGGGCGGCACTGCATACAGCATAACAGCTTTGGGTTTAGACTACTGTGTGGCAACTTTCAGTGTTTTATTTTTAACATTTTAGAATTGCTTGAAAACATTCTGATTAAGTGATCATTAAAATAATTGTTAATTGCAGTCTTGTTCTGTAAGAGTACACAGCTAATCATACACAAACAAATACACACAAAACCACATAGGCACATACATAGGCCTTTCTGGAACTCCCATTCTGGTTTATCTGAAGGATAACACACACCGGAGTGACTGAGAGGATGAACTCTGCACGTGTGTATCTCTAACAGCAGGGGAGCCTGGGGAAGTTGGAGGTGGGGACAAAAGGAAACGTGTGTTTGTGTGGGAGGCCTGTATGGAGACACCGGGTCTGCCAGACTGACACAAACACACCTTAGTCTACCATCATTCCAAGTGCCACAGATAAACTGGGGAGAAAGTTTGCTTGCAACATTACCAACAAGCTACAAAACTGATTCTGTGCTCATCATCTCTGTTTGGTAACTTGACAACTCGAGCTTTTGTCAGAGCTGGATTCTTGCCAAAAAACACTCAGAAACTGCAGCAAACAATGAGACAGTAAAAAATACTTCATCATCAGGCTGATACATCAGTGTGCCCCTAAAAAGTCCCCACTTGTTTTTCTTCCTGCCTCAGTTCCCATCTCCACAAAACTCTTATTTGTATTCATGATACAACCTCCATGGTGTGAAACTGGAGAAAAGACAATGTGATTTGCTTTTGTCAAGAGGCTTTAATTCAATCTGCTGAGCTTAGCTGGGGGTCTGAAAGCAAGAATAATTGCCTGTGTGAGCATGATGCTTAAGCGAAGATAGACCTTTGTGTAACACCGCTGCAGCTCTCAGCTATCGCAGCGAACACTAGATGGACAGATTTATCTCAGACACAACGTAGTGCCTACAGACACAGCTGATACATGTACACTACAGTCAGGTTTTATCGCACTGTCATGAACACTCACCATCAGATAGCGCACACAGGAGCACACAATCCAACACCACCTACATATTCTGCCAATGGCAAAAACAAACAAGAGGAACCAAAGTGAAAGAAGCGAAGATGGTTACTTTAATCTGGAAGGATGGAAAGAATGACTCAGAAAACACTCTGTCAGTGTTTCTGTTGGTTAATTTACATGTATGGTCATTGGCAAATCATATAAATGCATGTGTACCTTAACTTGATATTTAAGCCTCAATTTTTGAGTCAGCACAAAACAAAAACAATCTGTCAAGTGCTCAAAAAGGCCAGTTCTATGACATCTATCGATGAAGTTCATTTGATGTGACTGAAAGCTCCTGAAAATCTACATGGCCTGAGATTGTTTTGTCAATATCTTTATGCCAAGTTTGTGTGGCGGGTGACATTTTTGAAAGCCTGTTGATGTTGTCTATCATCTATTCATTTTGTGACTCTATGAGTCCTCTGGCATTTTAAATAAAGGGACAGAAAGAATTAATTAGCTGCACTGTCTGCAGGTGGGATGTAAATCTTCAAATAGAGGATAATCCTGAGTTAAAAACTTAGTACATACACAGCAAACAGATTTTAAGTCTTAAAATATCTGTTAAGAACAGTGAAATGTAGAATTTTACGCTGATTCCTCCCCCAGTGCCCTGGCCAGCCACTGTGGCACATAAACACATACCAGAGGTGGAACTGTGGCGTCAGGTCACCAATCAAAGCTGATAAATCATCTAAAATATACCCCCTTTTTTAAACTGTATCATTAAATAACACATTAAAAACAAACATATCAGAAAAATGACCATTGTACACACATCGGTGTGATAATATCCACATAATGTGACAGAAACAGCCTCTGGGAAAAATGTATTTGATTTGTACTGTGATTTTAATTTGCTGTATGTCCCATCCACCAACATGGTGGGGGCTGGGTTTCTGACCTATATCAATATGCACTAGTCAAGAACAATCCATAGCAATGGTTTACAAACTGGGGGTGGGGACCTCACTTGGGTCACTTGGTGAAATGCCACTTTGTGTGTACTGCGAGGGATTATTTGTACCGATTCATTTTGAATGAGGTAAATGGCACATAGAGATACCCAGAAAATAAACCCTGGTCCTTCCTAATTATGTCTGACATCTCGACCCTACCACATCACACCTCTGGCTCCTCCATTTCTCATCACTAATCCAGTGGCTCACCCTCATCTTTGTGTCCCAGTGGGAGGCTTCGCTCTTGGATGGTGTAGTTGGCGGAGAATCCCTCTCTGGCAATGGCGTTGTCAGTGGTGATGGTCATGGACAGGATGCCGGTGTAGGAGATCACACGGCCCGGGGATGCCTGGCCACAGTATCTGCCAATGTGGGGGCCCACTGAGGGAGGATGGGGACGAAGGGTAAGAGGGAGAAAGGTGGGGAAATTCAAGAGAGAAGGATGTAGGAACAAAGGTAGAGGTGGAAAAGAGACATGAGGAGTGAGAGGGAGGTAAAGCTAAAACGAGAACATCAGCTTCATCACACATCAACTGCAGAGTCCGTGCCTGCCCTCACTGTCCTGGGAAATGTGTCGCGACTTTGAGCAAAAAACCTGAGACAAATTTTTAGCCTGTTATATTTTATCTACACAGACCTTAAATCTAGTTAAATGTCCAATTTAAGATTTTAAAAAAGCATCAACAGTGAGGAGCTGATCAGTCAGCTCCAATCTGTCACCTCTTATGACTGATGTGACACCTCGGAGACAGGTATAAAGGTGAGATGGCACTCATTTCCACAACATATCGTACCGGCACTTCAGTGCAGGGTATTGTGTTAAATCTGTATGCTTTGTCACATTTCACATTCACAACTCTGAGTCCAGGTTGTTAAATTTAGATCTGAACAGAATGATTCTCATCCAGTTGAAGAACAAGTATAATATTACTGTTAGAAAATGGAAAGTGTAGTTCTCAGATTGTCACACATTGTTGTGAGGAGAGTGAGATGCAGCAGAGAGATTAAAAAACTATTTTCAACTAAGTTAGAAAACTTTGACTATACTAACTATAGAAACTAGACACTCAGTCACTCATTGCACCCTGATTTGGCCTCTCACATACTACTGCATCCATTTTACAGAAGGATAAGTTACTGGAAAACTTTTTTAAACCCCAGAGGTTCATTTACAACATGCATAGAAGTATTGTGGCATTTCCAGAATCCTCAAAGACTTTATTTGCCATCTGGATAAACAAAAAAGGTAACACTGTACGGTACAAGTCTTAATCATTTTTCAGGAAATTTTCCGAAAGAGGCTATGCTATTTGGCACCAATTATAGGGAACATGTCTACTTTTTAGACTTTTAACCTCAAATTAAACTTTGTTTTCCATTTCTTGTTCTTCCATTTCCATTGTTTGCTGGCCTGCAGACAAATTTCACTTTGTGAATGTACAAATAACCTGTCTGCACTGAATGAAGGCAGTAAATAATTAGTAAAGTCAAGTCTTTGCTGGTGAAATTATGCAGTAGATATTTCATTTTTAGAGCAACAAGGATTCTGAACCATTGTTAAAACAGTGGTGTGTTTTCACCCAACCGTCTGTGAGATTACCGGGGATTTATCTTTCAGAAAAAGAGCTGCTGAGCTCTTTGACGCAAATGTAATAAACCATGAGAGGCAGAAACCAACACTGACTGTATAACAACGAGATTTTCTTATATGCAGCACATTGCGACAGACTGCCTCACGTCTAAACACAGAGTGCTGACGTCCCTGCCTGCCCACTGCTTGCTGCCCATTTCATCCTGTTCTTCTCAGTGGGAAACAATGCCAGGCTTGTAGTGCCTCCTGTTTCGTCGAGATACTGTATCTGCAGCCTCTCAAAGACTCAAGGAGGGAACAGAATGAAAATATACACATTACAAAAATTATACTTTTCTGACATTTTCCTTCAGCTTTGGGGGCTAAAAAAAACAAAAAGCAACCTTAAAGCAACAGCACTGGACTGCTTCAGTAATCTGGTGGATTATGTTTATCAATTACAGTTTTAAGCGGGATGTGCGCAATCTGTGATGGATTATATTAAAAGTGAAAACACAAATAAATGCAGAAACAGAAGCACTGCAGGGTGAGCAGCAGATATCTGAGTCATGTCATCAGACTGGATTTGATTTATTTGCATGTGCTTTCTTAAGCTACAGCAAATCTGGCTACATTTACATTTGGCACTTTACACGGAAATTAAAATAAATTCCTGACATTCTGATCAAGTAAACCATATCAATAACATTAAAAATGTACTTTTTTAAGGTCTTTCTCCACCTTGAAAACAGCTTTTTGCTTAAAATAAATCCCTTGTACAAAATTAAATCCTGTAACTTACCAAACTCTCTCCACTGTTTAAGGGGTGAAATGTGGATGAAAGCGCTGGAAGAACCATGTTAAGTGTCAAAATGATAAAAGATCAAGATAAAACTATCCTGGTATTTACAAGGCTCATCCCTTTTCATTTGCGTGTGAACAAAAAATTCTTAACACAATAAAAACCAAAACATAATTCATTTGAAAAACAAAACTAGGCATAGATTTACGTTTCTTGGATTAAATTCGATCACAAGAAATGTCTTCATAAAATAAATAACTTCCTTTTGAAAAACTGATTTACAGTATAGCTCTCAGAGAAAGCAGCAGTGCATGGTGGGAATGTTTGATGTCAGTGTTAACACTGTGAAAGCGTCTGACGGGATGAAAAACTACATTCTAGTCTTTACCCTGCGCCAGTATTATCTGTGAGACACATGTTCGCTGAGCAAACACAGGAATCCTGGCTTTACCGCTTCACACACCAACATAGCACATGTACCAATACACACACAATCACACACACAGATCCTTTGACAGCCCTGGCATGTTATATATGCTGGCACAGATTTAAAGTGTATCTCACTGTGTGTCTACCTGTGCCAGTCTTTGTAGCCCAAGCCAGTCTCCTCCCTGGCAATAATCAGGCAAAGCTCTGGCCATAGCAGCAAGTACTGTGGGCATCGTTGCAGCCTCCTCATGCCTGTCCAAGGTATGTAACTCTCAGCATTATCTGCACGCTGTACGGCTAATTAGACAACAATAGCAGCTAACGCCATCCAAATGAGGGCAGGAGTTTGAACAGAGAGTAGAGAGCAGGTTGCGCCTCCATCATTCATGGAGAAAGCTGATTTTTCAAACAGGAGGAGGCTGTGAAGGAGTCTCTCTTTCATTTGCTTAGTCTCTGCCAGAGAATCCAGCCACATGAGCTATTCTATTCTATATAGTTTTAATCATATAGAGCCAAATCACAACAAAAATCATCTCAAGGCACTTTACACAGTCTACACTTTACTACTCTTCTTCTTATATTCTTATTGAGAATTACTATAGAGAATGAACAGGAGGTTCTGAGCCTGTCCCACCTACATGGAAGCCATCCATCCTTTGCTCTCCTCCCTCCTCCTCTGTATCTCTGTTTTCTGTCAACATCTGCAGGGAGAGGCTGTGCCGAGCACCTCTCATCCTCCTCTCTGCTGCTTCACAGCTCTGCATCCTATTTCTCATGATCTTACCTTCCATGTGTGGAGGTTTCTTCTGCAACTCTTTGTGCCACCATATTTTTCTGCCTGACAGTCCCCTCTTTCTTCATTTCTCTGTCTGGGTAGTGCATCCATTTTTATTTGCTTGGCTTGGTTTTGTTATTTTTCTTTCAGATGTGACACTGTTTCCAAAATAAAAACCTTTTTTTTCTCATTCAGCTTGAGCTCGTGGTTTAGCCTGCCACACTTCAACCAACATGTCCACCACTTTTTTCATTCATGTCTGCATGAGCTAAATGCTCTCCTCACCTGCAGGGAAGCCGTCCCAGATCTCCAGCCAGTCGTATCGGCAGAGGGCGCCTGGTGGCGGTGTGGTGTCAGGCTCCATGTCAAAGCTGTCGAACTCCACCACAATCTCCGACATCTTGGGGGCGAAGATCATGAAGGTGCAGTCCAGGTTGTTGGGGTACTTATCGGGGAAGCCTGGGGTCTTGATGAAGCCCCGGGGAGCCGTGAAATTCCTGGAACATTCTGGACCTGTGAGGAGAAAAGATGCTGATGAGTGTTTCCTTGCTCAAACAGAGGTGTTAACTGCTGGGGGTTAGCTGTAAGTAGGGCGTCATAACGTGCTCTCACATTACTGCTACTTTGAATATGACTTTGAACCTGCCTGCTTTTTTATTTGGTGCTGGTTTGGGTTGATAGTGTTTACTTTGTCATATGTAAGTTAAATGTTTGACTTTTTCTGTCTTTGCTGCAGCAAACAAAACAAAAAGATATGCACATTCTGAAAAATAACACATATGATCCACACAAACTGAAAAACTAGCGGTTTTCGACCTTTCAGGATGTGTAAAGCTTTAGTAGCCTGAAACCTTTTTACATCTCTGACCTTTTCATTGTGTCTTTTTAAGTCTCAGGCCAAACTTTATTAGAAAAAATTGGGTAAGTGAAGGAAAAAAGGTTGTTTAGACATGAAATTTCATTTCCTTACAGTGCTTATTAAACAGTTTTCAGAAGAAACACTTCACATCAACTTAAAATAGGAAAAATAACTTCAATAGATCAAGATAATGCTGCTAAATGATCAAACCAAAAATCTGGTTTAAAATATGCACAATGATTTCAGAATCTCCAGGCACCACTGACTGCTTAAGATGTTCCAAAAACACAGCCTATATTTTTTTGACAAACAAGACGAGCTGTGCTGTGACCGGGCCCCTCGCATGTTGAAGCAGTCTGTCGGTGTTGTGACTGGGGTTGGGGGTTTGGCTAGTATTTACTGACTGACACAGACACTCCATTCATCCATTATCTATACCGCTTATTCCTGAACAGGGTCACAGGGGGGCTGGAGCCAGTCCCAGTTAATATTGGGCGAGAGGCGGGGTCCACCCTGGACAGATCGCCAGTCTATCACAGGGCTGACATGTAGACAAACAACCACACACGCTTTCACTCACTCCTAGGGGCAATTTAGAGTCACCAGTCAACCTAAGCTGCATGTCTTTGGACTGTGGGAGGAGCACCCAGAGAGAACCCACTCAGACACAGGGAGAACATGCAGACTCCAGGGCCAGGGCTCAAACCCAGCACCTTCTTGCTGTGAGGAGACAGCGCCAATCACCGCTCCACTGTGCCGCCCTACCCAAACACTCAGTGACCGTTTACAGAAACTGATCATGGTCAACAAATACAAGACACATATACACTCACAGACAGACAGACACATCCCTATTAGCTAGATACACCCACACACACACACATACACTCACGCTACCCTACATATTCAGTTGAGCAAAACCTTCTTTGCATGCAGTGTATGTCAAATATCATCTCAGGCTAATACACAGTTTCCTAGTGTTTCCATCTCAACACTAGCTTTTTCTCCACAGCATTTTTCTTGTTGATCTTGATTGATACAGTTTTTCTAATGCGTTCTTTCCTCTTTTGTCTTGGCTTATTGTTTCTTTTTCTACTTTCTGGTGTGCACTTTCAACTGACATAATTTGCAACAATGGTTTTTAAATGTGCTGTATACAGTAAATAAAATGTTTTATTTGCTTAGGAGCACAAAAACACCCAAAACCCACACAATACATTTGTCTGCTGTTATTTTGCACCTTGTGACAATGATGTTTACAGTAATTTATCACACTTTCATTTACACATGTGCACACAACACCCTCCAGTGCTGTCTGCTGTGTTATGCTTTAATATGTCCCTTGATAGTCGCCTTATTGTTACATAGCAGTGCGATGCTGTTACTCTAGATTATTCACAAGGCTGGGTGTGTGTAACATCCTAAAAAGTCTTTTAAGTAAGTTTCTTATTTATCTTTTTTGTTGCAGTAAACAGACTTTGAACACATGTTCATTCAGGCAATGGTCGGAGCTTTTAGGAGGAAATATACAATATAATGATCACCTAATTTATTGTTTTGGCATGGACTTTTTCCTGGGATGTGCTTTGATTACTTTGTTCTTCTTATTTTAACAAACGTATGATGGTAAAAGACAGTGTGATGAGTTACACACTCTATAGCTATTTCACACCCACATGCTCTTCTAAGATGTAGGATAATGAAATAAAGCCTTTTCAATGCACAGCAAAAACACCATGTGACATAAATGACTCCTGATAATATAGAGCAGATAGATAATCTGGCAGTTGTTACAGTACGTCAGTGTCAGCGTCTGTACACAAGTTGTTTGCTTCCCAGTCACATCCAGGCAGTCGACATCGGCTAGGTTGGCAGCTCGCACCTTGCTTGTCATAAAATGACATGAGTGAAGTTACAAGATGGTGACCTGATCTCTGTGGGAGGAAGAAGACACAAGGCGGTTGCGTACGCGTGTGTGTGTGTGTGTGTGTGTGTGTGTGTGTGTGTGGTGGTGTGGGGGGTGTACCCTCATGGTGCCAGGCCAGATGTGACCAGCATGTTATCTGGACATGCCTGTAAACATGAATCCACACATACACATAGAAACACACAGAGGCACACACACTTCAGTGGACTGCTCGCTGTTGACACAGGTGGTGTCATTAAAAGGGCGACATGATGAATGATGTGGAAGGATGAGCGGTGAAGGATGGGGGGGGCTTCAATCCTGCTCAGCTGGCATACTTTCAAGTGTGTGTGTATGTGTGTATGTGTGTGTGTGTGTGTGTGTGTGTGTGTGTGTGTTTGAAATGTGCAGATGGGTTGGTTCAGTCTGGGGTGAGAAATCTGTGATGCTGAACATCTATTAAGGTCAGAAATTTGTGACTTAAGGGTAAAATTCGACTGAGTTACAACAGAGCCCCTTTCGAAGTGAAATGTAGCAAGAAAATATCTACAAAGGTGAGGAAAATGTAGCCTGCCCACAAACCATGACACACAAGCACACACACAGAACAAAAGTTAAAACAAACAGCGCAACACACTAGAAAGCAATCAGACTCTGAATACCATTGACCAGCCTTTGTTTCATTCAAACTAATGCATGAAAAAAAAAAAGAAACAAAAATGTTACAAAATGTTTCTAAAAATCTTGACTCCACACTGAAGAGGCCAGTGGCTGAATTCGAAATTTAACTTTAAACCCCCCTGTAGCCCATCCCAGCTGACATTGGGCAAGAGGCGAGGTTCACACCGGACAGGTCGCTGACATGCAGACAAACAACCACACACACTCACACCAACCAACCTAAGCTGCATGTCTTTGGACTGTGGGAGGAAGCCGGAGTGCCCGAAAACATAAACTCCGCACAGAAAGGCACCGAGTCAGTCGGGACTCAAACCTTCTTTATGTGAGGCAACAGTGCGAACCACATCTTTTTAAGTTTCAAAGGAGATCTCTTCAAGCTCTAAAATAATTCTCAGATTTTCTGAACATTTGTGCCTCATTTTGATCTCAGGCAGAGATCTCTGAGAGCTCTCTATGAACTCAGCCTGTTCCCATCCCAGTCTAATGCATGCATCTCATGCTAATCTCAGACAGAGCAAATAAAGAGCTCTCTGCAAGCACTCACTGAATTCTCATCCAGACTGAAGTTTTAATTCCAGTGATATCGTTATCCAATTTCCCAGCATGCCCCAGTGGTATTGTTCTTTTTTGTTATATTCTTTTTTGTTGTGTTTTGCAGCAGTACCCCTGTTAATTATTTCACCTTAAACCACACTTCATTAGTCTTGTGTCATTATACAGTGTAACTGCTGTTGCACTTCATGCCCTGCTCTCTTGTTACTTTATTATGTTTTCCTTCCTCACGGTTCTTCCTGTGGTCCTACCAAAATAAAAGGATGCTGCCAAAGATAGAGCCATTTTATCATAACCTTCCAATGACCCAGTGCTCACCATTACATACAGTACTGTATAAATATAAACCTTATATATGTATAGACTCACATATTGCTCCGTGGTAGCTTTAGTATTGCTCACTTTCCGCTCTAAAGGAAGAAAAAAGAGCCATAGAGTGAGGTATCTCCCTTGTGTCTCAAGAATGACTACTCTTGCTCATTGTTGTGTCTCAGCTATTTCTCCTAGCGAATTTTAGGAGAAACATAAACACATCAAGACAAGATAAAAACTAAAATGAGTCTGAAATGAGAATCACATTTATGTCTCCAGAGCTGTAGAAGAGCACCTTTTAAACTGTAAAATTTTCCCCTGGCTCTGTGTGTGTGTATGTATATATACTGAGGCTACATAGATTGTTTGCAGAAGCATATCTGTTATTGTGTTGTCACCAACACAAGCGCACACTTTTCCCAGACAACACGGTTCACTGCTCTCAGCTCTCACTGGCTGATCCTCTGCACATCCATCCTTTCACTTCTTTCATGTTCTTTATCAGCAACCCCTCAATCAACTGTGGCTTAGAGTCGCCTTAGACAAACAGTTCCTCCCATCTGTCGACTAAACCACAGAAATGCGTTTCTGGTTTGAAAAAGTGAAATAAAATGAAAGAGTTTAAGAAGCTGTTGTGTATAAATGATGTGCATTCTGTGGTCTGCAGAGGGTGGAGCTATGGTTATAGGTATGAGAGGCGGATGTGCCCGAGTGTTACAGCTCAAATCAAATCAAATCAAATCAAATTTTATTTGTATAGCGCCAAATCACAACAAAAGTCATCTCAGGACACTTTACAAAGGAAGGTCTAGACCTTACTGTTATCAATATTATTACATAGGGAAAACCCAACAAATCCCCCTTGAGCAAGCACTTGGCGACAGTGGGGAGGAAAAACTCCCTTTAACGGAAGAAACCTCCGACAGACCCCGGCTCTTGGTGGGCGGGAAAAACAGTAATGGATATGTGTTATTTCCTTGTCCCATCTGAGCTCTGATACTTGACCTGCTCTCTGTCGTCAGTTCAATTACAGCCTTATCTTTTGGCTTCTGTAATGTAAAATATCACTGTATGGAGGCTGTCAGTAACATACTGATACTGCTAGGTAGGATCAATAAAGTACCTACCTACCAACAGCAGTATAGTGTTCTATCTGCGGTTTGCAGTTCAGTATGGCTAGGAATTATTTTAGCATCGTCATTG